GTGTGTGTGTGTGTGTGTGTGTGTGTGTGTGTGTGTGTGTGTGTGTGTTATTAGCAACTAGAAAGATTGTCCCAGCTTCAATCCCCGGGACCCCATGTGGCAGAAGAAGAGAATGAACTTTCACTCACACGCCACAACCAGGTGTTCCTCAAATAAATAATACATGTAACAAAACAATGCACTTCAAGTGCTGCCGTCTCCCCTGCCCCAGGCTGGATTTCTACAGGGGAAACAAGGCCTCAGATGCATGGATATTACCCTAAAGTGCAGTCTGAAATGATTTTAAGATTACAGAAAGCTTCCAGTATCTGAGTCCCTTTACTGCTCTTGCATAGATGACCAACGCACAACTATCAAAGCCCAGGAATTAATGTTTATAAACACTGTAAGCTAGTCTCCATGGCTTTTCCAAACATCACCAGCTGCCCTACTGTTCTCTTTTGGGAGCCTCTTGGTGCGTGATAAGCTAGCATCACGTGGCGAGCTAGCATCACGTGGCGAGCTAGCATCACGCCTCACATTGTCTTACTTCCTTGGTCTTGTGTAACCCTGGGCCTTCTCTTGTCGTTCATGCCCTTACACTTTCCAAGGGCCTACACATGGGATTTACTGAACATCGCTCAATTTGAGTCTGCCTGCTTCTTCATGGTTTGGATTCGGGCTGTGCATGCTGGACAGGAAGGCTGCGGCACACCGTGTCGGGGGCAGAGCTCTACTTCTTCTCCTACTGTCTTGACTTTTATCACTACAGACTGAACATCTGCTTTCTCCTATGGGTGTGAACGCCCTTTAGGATTCTGAGAAGACCTTATTAAGTTGTCCAGACAGGCTGGGCAGATTTTCACTTCCCTGGGTCCTGCAAGAGTCCACCGCCTTTTGTGCCCACATAGCAAGTGCGGGCAGTAAAGGAATGACAGCAACCGCTGTCCTGGAACTTTATTGCCAGCAGATGGTGCTGTTCCACACCTCTGCTATCGCCTCTCATCTCCAGTTCCATGTAGAACACGGTGGTTTATCTCTTGCTGTCTGTGTGTTTGTGACAAATATAAGAAACGAAACAAACAACGCTGGTGTGTGTGTGTGTGTGTGTGTGTGTGTGTGCTGTGTGTTTGGAAGTGTGTGTGCTGCAGTGGGCAGGTGGAGTTGGTTCTCTCCTATTACTAACTTGAGATATTTCCACAGTATCTTTGTATTTTAATTGTGTGTGTGTGTGTGTGTGTACATGCGCGCGTATGCCAGAGGGCAACCTGGAGTGTCATTCCTCAAGAGCTATCTACCTTGTTTTTGGAGACAGGGTCTCTCAGAGAATGTGTAACTTGAGAATTCAGCTAGGCTGACTGCCCAGCGAATTCCAGGGATCTGTCTGTCCCCCAGTAATTCCCCAGTGACACTGGGTCTTCTTGTCCTGATGAACGATCCACTGTCCAATCATATGGAGGTGGCTTTCAGCTTCCACTGAGAATAAATTTAATAATTATTTAATAATTTGAATACATTGAATAAATGTAAATAAGGAAGAATATAAAATACAGGTCTGAAACCATGTACTATTACTAACATAAATAAAGTTGGGGTTACAGAGGCATGTTCCCCTGCCTGGCTTTTTTTTTTTAATGTGGGTTCTGAAATTGAGCTCCGGTCCTCACGTGGCAAGACAAGTGCTTTACCAACAGAACTATCCCCCAACCCCTGATTTAGCTACACATAAATTTTATAATTGTACACAGTGCCACCTACAGAGTCAGCCTTTATTTCTGCTGCTTGTCTTTCCTAGACAAGAACTCAGCTGTCCCCTTAGATTACCAATGCACTCAATCCTTCACCTTTTTATTCTGTTCTTTCTTTTTATAAATTTCTTTTATTCTTCTGGAATATGCTCTACCAGACTTCCTAACATCAAATGCTTCCTTAGTCCCATGTGTTTACTCCAAGTTCAGGAACGTACAAAGATGAGATTTAAGTCAGTAGAGAAGGGCTTGCAGCTTCTAACAAATTTACAGATTAACCTCTCGGAAGGCAAAGCGGATGCTTACCTCAGGCTGTTTATAAAGAGAGATTCCACACGGATATATGGAAAGTACTAGGAAAGCGTTTTTAAAGATGTATCTTGTTTTTAATTGTGTGTGTGTGTGTGTGTGTGTGTTTGTGCACCTGTGTGCAAGGGCTTCTGGAAGCCAGAAGAGTATGTCACATGCCCTTGGGCTGCAGTTACAGGTGAGTGTCAGCTACCCTGTCAGTGCTGGGTAAACACAGGTCCTCTACAAGAGCAGAAAGTGCTCTTAACTCCTGAGCAATCCCTCCAGCCTCGTTAGGAAATCATTTTTATCAAGCAAACGGGAACTCTGCAGCTCAGGCCCTCTGAATAAACACAGCAGATTATCTGTGTCCCCACGGTTGACAGCCTCGGGCAAGCACGAGAGAGCTAAGGCCAGGAAGCTTCTCATCACACTGCTAGGGCACCTGTATCTTGCTGCCTCTGTCTTAGAGCACAGACCATGCAAACAACGGCAAAAGCACCCCACTTCTCACTGCTCACACAAGGCTTGCGTTATCTTTACCCAGACTCAAATACATACTAAAGCAACACTTTTATCTGAATAAATTTAAATAAATAAGAATATAAAATACAGGTCTGCAAACACGTACTGTTAGAAACATAAATACTAATTTACATGACATGTAGGCATAGAATACATAAAACAGAGAATTGTGTTGGGGCCTGAGAATACAAAACTAAGTCATCAGTGATCAGAGTCAAAGGTGTCACAAATAAAACCTGCAAAGGGTCCTGGTGATGTCACTATAGCTGGAAGAAGCAGGTCTCAGGCCTCACGGAGTGTGGTACTCCCGGAAATACTTGGCATGGACACCCTTCTGGCACTTCTCACAGCGGGTGTTGGCCTGTGAGTGGCAGAGGGCATACCAGGGCCTCTTGTCCTGATGGACAATCCAGTGTCCAATCATATCGAAGCGATTTTCAGTCTCCGCCCTCCAGCTCCACCCACCCTGTGAGGAAGTATCTGCATTGCTCTCCAGATACACGTGGGCCACGTTCCTGCTGAGGGCTAGGAGGTCCACGTGTGTGCCCTGACAGTACACCCTGTGCAGCTGCCATGCACTGTTGAGGGCCGCGTCAATGATGTAGCTGATGAAACTCAAGTACCACTTCATGGCACGGATCTTCACCTTGTACTTGGCGATGTTCTGGTCCATCCGGTCAACCCCTCTGGCCTTCTCCCGATAGAGCTTCACCAGGGATGGCGGGTGGTCCTGTGTCCAAGCTTTGGCTTCTCCCAGGTGGCAGCGGGTCAGCCTCACTGGCTCTACGCCCACCGCATTGCAGCAGATGTTCACCACGCGACTGCTGAGCCAGCGGCACACTGAAAGACTCCCGGGGGCATCTTCCCTCGGGAGAGACCCCGTACCCAAAGATCAGTCGAAAACACGCAGCCGGATGCAAACTGCAAGAGGTTTATTGGATAGGATACGCAGGTACCTGGGGCTACAAGTCTCTGGAAGACTTGCGCGCCTGCAGGTTGGGGATGAGGGGTTCTTATAGGAGAGCAAAAGCGCGGGTACAGAAGCAAAAAAAGCTTTCATTTCATTGGTCAATTTAAATAAGGCTAAGCTGAGTGGCACATTCCTGACCTTTTACCTAAATACCAAGGAGGGGGTTGTCCAGACCCACCTGGATACCAAGGAGGGGGTTGTGCTACCTGTTTTTCTTATCTCTTCCTGCCTTCCTAGCTTGGCTGGCGACTAGATGTCTGATTGCACAGCCCCTGACTCGTGGGAGCCCCGCTTTACGTGACTCAGGCCTCGCAATCCTCTCTTTGTTTCTATGGCCAGACCATAAATCCCTGTCTTGCAGCCAGATAAGGCTGCCCTGCTCTAACTTCAAGTATCTTTGTTCAGCATTCCGGAGGTTCTGAATTAAGCCTGTTGTTTGTTCAGCACTCCGGAGGTTCTGAATTAAGTTATCTGCAACCCTTTGCAAAACGTTATAACTGTGGTTAAAGTTAAAACGAGTTGGGGTCCTTCAACACAAGGATCTCGCGCTCGTCCACCTTGTAGTCAAATGAACCCTTTTTCATTTTCCTCAGTTCTCTGGGATCCTGGAGAGGACAACGCTCTGTACTCACATACAGTTCCTGTGGCCTTCACTCCTTTTTTTTTTTTTTTCCTCAAAATGGACATCAGTTTGAAGCTTGTGAAGACCTTGTCAAAGGATATGTGGTATGGGCGGGGGCCACGCTCCTGAAGTGCGTCCAAAAATCTGACCACCATACAGCCTCCTATATCCAAGCCCCAGTTTGGCTTGGTGAACAGGGAACCCTGTGAAGGTGCAAACCACACCAGGTAGCCTCTGCTGGTCATTCCACAACAAATCTTATAGCCTAGACGGACCGGCTTCCCCGAGTGCAGCAGCTTGGACCCACTGAGCCGAAGTATCCACAGATGGATTCACCAAAGCTGTAGAGCTCCTCCAAGGGATCATGCTTCTGGAAGTTACAGTTCATATGGACGATGAGGGGCCTGACCTTGGCAAACCGATTGCTCTCCTGAGTTCACTGTTATCTGCAACATGCAGAGGGTCAGCTCAAATCTGTCCCTTCTAATAGCATCAGCCACAAGGTGACCATGAGAGTCAGGAGCTGTCTCCCAAAACATCCACTGCCTTAGGTAGGAGATGTATCCAATTAAAATCAAGATGCCCAAAACACACTTCAGTTCCTGGGCTGTGAGACTGAGGGTGATATTTTTCTGTTGAGCATAACGCTTGGTTTCATTAACAATGAAACCGATTGTTCGTAATCAAAAAACGGTTCAAAGAGGCCTATGGGACTCAGCTCCTTGGTTTTCAGTCTTCTATATGAGGATCTGAGCTGTCCAGCTACCAATGTCTGGCCGGGTGTCTCTCTCGGTCCAAACACGTCGAGGTTCCACTGCTGTCCTCCGCCTTTTCTTGGCTGGTTGCAGCTCTGGCTTGTCATAGTCCCCCTCCTCCTGGGGGTCTGAGTCCTCAGACACGACTGAAGCATGCAGCACCCAGCCAGGCGACTGGGTACCATTCTGGCCATGGTCTTCCTCACCATAGTCCTCATCAGTGAAGTCCTGGGGACATTGTTGGGGGGTGCAAAGAAAATCTCCTCCCTGTTGCTGTCAAACTCATCCCCCTCCAGAGCGCTCAGGACCTCCAGCAGCCTAGGCAACCTCACCTTTGAGTGTGCTCCTCTCCTGGAGGGGTCACCCCTGCAATGACAGAACAATTGGAGAGAGATCACTCCACGGAAAAGTAACTCAGCTCCTTGTAGAGTTGGGCCCATCAAGGGTAGCATCACACCTGTGAGTCTTCCATATAAACAGAGCTGGCAAGGTTGGCGGTGGTTTTACATCAAGGACACACAGCGGGGCCAGTGCCCACTTTCTACCATTGCCCTCCCCTGACTGCCATGGCTCTTCTCCACTCTCTCCCTTCTCCGCTCCCTTCCTCCTTTATGCTTTCTGAACCGCTTAGTGAGGCCCACGGGATGAAGGGATTAAAAAGTCTTTAACTAGGGTTAACCATGCTCCCACAGACTCTTACCGTGAGTCTGAAGCCATGACAACCTGGGAAGAGAGGATGTCCTTACTCAGGGCCTAAGAGCCTGTAAGACAACAAAAGTCAGTATTTGAATAAGCAAAGCCATAGGCTCTTTACCATACAAAAGGATTCTTGTTTAAGGCTCACCATCAAGAAGGAAATGGGTGGGACACACACAGGAAATAGTGTCAAATGGCTTTCCCATCTCAGAGCACAAAGCCAACATACATTCTAAATCAGTGTGGCTCAGATAAGTCTTTGTTGGTGGGGCGGGTGCAGTGGAACAATCTTTGTACCCTCTAAATTTGCACTGCTTTCATTGGTTAATAAAGAAGAGATTAGGCGCAGAGCCAGACTAAGAGGATGCTAGATAGAAGAAGGGTGGAGTCTTGGGCATCTCCAGCCAGGAGAGGAAGCAGGACATGCAGGAGAGGTAAAAGCTACGATCCTCAGGGCAGTACATAGACTAATAGAAATGGGTTAATTTAAGCTGTAAGAGCTAGTTAGTGATAAGCTTGAGCTATTGGTTGAGCATTTATCATTAATATTAAGTCTCTGTGTGTTTATTTTGGAGTCAGTGGTCCCGAAAAAGACTCTGCCTAAAGGTGGGGACAGAGTCAGCCCTGGGCATCAGCTCTGGTTTCTGATCACTAGGTACCTGTAGAATACCTCAGCCTCCTTAACTGCTGAAATACAAAATTTCCAGGGGCTGAAAGGATAGCTCACTAGGTAAGAGCTTGCACAGGGCTGGCAACTTGAGTTTGGTCCCTGGAATGCACATGAAGGTAGGAGAGAACCTGACTCCATAAAGTCATTTTGACTGCCACACTGGCCTTGGCATTTACATACCAACGCACCCCCAGCACAGTAACAATGCAACAAAAGTCTCCAGACATTCTGATGTGTTCCCTGGGATGGGGGCACAAAATCAGTTCTGATTTTCCATGAAGATGGAACTGTTCTGCCTCAGAACTACCCAGTTTGGCAAACACAGGCCACAAGTGGCTACTCAGCGCTTAAAATAAAGCTAAGGATGTTGAATTTTAAATTTAAACAGCCACATATGGTCAATGTACTAGACAATAAAATTCTAAATATATTAACAATTAATTGTGGGGGCTCAGAGGTTAAGAGCACTTGCTGCTCCTCTAGAGGACCTGAGTTTGGCTCCCAGTACTCATGCCAGGCAGCTCATACTTGCCTGTAACTTCTGCTCCAAGGAATCTGGTTTCCATAGTACTTCCATACACATGGCATGGGCGCGCGTGTGTGCGTGCACGCACACACACACACACACACACACGACAAATTTTAAAATTTTTAAAATTTATCTCGCAAAAACCAAAAGTTTAAACTTTTTATTTGTAAGTATTTATTTTTTGAGGCAAGGTCTCATGTGACCCAAGGTTGAACTTGAACTCACTTTGTAGTTGAAAGGTACCTTGAACTTCTGATCCCTTTGTCTCTACCTCCCAGTGCTGGGATTACAAATATGTGTCGTGTTGTCAAACATCTTTTTGTTTATTGAGACAGGGTCCTTCTCTATAAGCCTGACTGACTTGGAACTCACAACGTAGACCAGGTTGGTTGGAACACAGAGATCCGCTTGGCTCTGCTTCCTGAGTGCTGGGATAAAAGACCACAATACTTGGGAAAAAATTTTAAACTTGTAAAGAATGAATGAAACCCAGTATAAGGGAGTAGTTAGTTTTTAAGAATATAAAATTAAGCTGGGCAGTGGTGGTGCCCGCCTTTAATCCCAGCACTCAGAAGGCAGAGACAGGTGGATCTCCGTGAGTTCAAGGTCAGTCTGGTCTACAGAGTGAGTTCCAGGACAGTCAGGGCTGTTACACAAAGAAACCCTGTCTCGGGAAAAAAAAAAAAAAAAAGTAAAATTAAGAAAAGTTAAACACCCTTGGCCTTCCTACAAATCTATAGTCGGCAGCCACTATGATAGCCCCAATGGTCCCTACCCTCCTGGTATCTATGCCCTGGTGTGAGCAGGGAAACCACATGGCCTGCTTCTGAGAAGAGGCCAGAGAGACTGGCCTGCTATACTGCCTCTGTCTGTTTCTGTCTCTACTTCTTGCTTCGAGGGAAGCCAGCTACCAAAGCTAAGCTGTCCCATAAGAAAGGCCTATGGGACAAGAACCTAAATCTTGTCCCTAGCCAATAACCAGAGATAACTGAGGTCCTCACACTAACACTGAACACGACCAGGAAGCAGATAACGAGAAACTTGAGGCAAGAGGCTGCAAGGCCACTGAAGAATGAGGGGCGCTGCCGCACAAGCGGAACATCGAGCTCCTGACCACGCTCATATTTAAGGCAGGGTTGTTCGGCCTGGCATAGGACAATTCTTTGTGTGTGTTTGGGGTGGGCCGCTCCGTTGTGGGAGCCAGGAAGCTGTCTTGGGTTTCAGGGTACCCAGCAAGTCCTGCACTTGCCACTAGAGGGCGGCAACACCCCAACAACAGCTGCCCAGACCCATAGCAGCTCTCCCTCATCACACTGACGGAAAATCCTGATCTAGAGCGAGTACACCACAGAATGGATGTAATCGATACAATAGGAGAGGAACGAACCTCAGTTACACAAGCCATTAATGATTTTGAAAATATACTACGGCCGGATATGATGTAATAATCCCAGCCTTTGGGAGGCTGAGGCAGGAGGATTATTATGGGTCAAAGGCTAGTTTGGGCTAAACAGTGAGTTCAAAAAACAAACAAACAAACAAACAACTACAAACAACCACTTGCCTTTCACAAGGACCAAAACATTAAGCAAAACCAGAATCATATTCCCTGAAAATACACTCACATCCACAGTGAAACCATCATGAAAATGATTAAGTAGAGCTTCAGAACTGAGTCTCTATGTACTGGCTGCTTTTCTGTATCAACTTGACACAAGGTAGAGGCATCAGAGAGGAAGAAGCCCCAGTTTAGAAAATGCCTTTGTGAGATCCAGCTGTAAGATATAGTGATCAATGCGGGAGAGCCCAGTCCATTGTGGGTGGGGCCATACCTGGGCAGGTGGTCCTGGGTTCTATAAGCGAGCAGGCTGAACAAACCAGGAGAAGTAAGCCAGTAATCAACACTCCTCCATGGCCTCTGCATCAGCTCCTGTCTCTAAGATTCTGCCCTGTTTGAGCTCCTGTCCTGACCTCCTTCAGTGATAAACAGCAATACTGAAGTGTAAGCCAAATAAACCCTTTCCTCCCCAACTTGCTTTTTGGCAATGGTGTTTTGTTGCAGCAATAGAAACACTAGCTAAGATACTCTAAGAGAAAGGTCCAATCACAGCACTTCCCCCCATCCCCCGACCGCCCGGGCACTGGACTTTGGATCAGGATAAGTTTCTTTTGAAATGACATTTACTTATGAGGTAGGGAGAGGGATACACATCCATGGTGCACATGTGGAGGCCAGAGGTCAACTTTGGGGACTCCATTCTGTCCTTCCATCATGTGGATCCTGGGAACCAGACTTGGCGGCAGGTGCCGGAACTCGCTGAGCCATCTCGCTGGCACAGAAGTTCTGCTTCTGTTTCAGGACCCTTTCAGCCGTTCTTTCTTCATATCCAGGTATGTATTTTTTCCATAAATACCCAGCACAGGGCACAGCAGAGGGACATGTATGAGAAACCCGTGACCACACTGAGTCACTGCTGCCCAGTGGGAACACTGCTGCCCCACACAGCAGTGGGAAGGGCACGCCAGCCTGCTGAGAGACTTCGCAAAGGCAGAAGATGACAAACATTTAAAGAGTCGTATCCCTGCTCCACAATCTATGTCCGCTGGAGACGAATCTCCTCCAAAGTCCCCAGGAAAGTGTGTGCCCGAGTTACTCAGAGTCTGGCCAGCTGGCATCCTAAGTCACTCTGGCCTCTGCCTGCTACCTCTGCTTCACCTGCTGTCCCACTCAAACTTCCTCCTGGCCTGTGGAAAAAGTCGTCATATGACTAAAGCGCTCATACAAGCCCCCACTGGCCTCAGCTCCTCTGAGCAGGTCTGTGGGGCTCTGGCCTCTCCTGTCCTCACGTTTGAAGCAAGTGCCAGGCCTGTAGGAAAGACCTGGGTCTTCCGATTTTATCCTCTCCCACTTCCCAGCACACACACATGAGCCTGGAGGAAACTGGACGACGGAGCCATCAGTGAGACGCCGTGCAGCGTTGACAAGCTATTTGTCTTATCTGGGCAAACGGGATCACTTAGGTACCCACTTTTGCTGGGCTGTGGGAACAGGGAGTCTGTGTGTGATGGAGGATGATGGGCCTGGCTTCACGGTGTAGGTGATTGCTTCAGCTCCCAGCCTCTCCCAAGCAATGACAGGAGTCAAAAGTGCTCTGAAAGCTGAGTTTGCCACACGCTCTGGCATCACATCCTGAGCAGACTTCTTTACAACCTCTCCTCCCTGCCATAACTTTCTCTTGATAGACAGTCACATGTTTACCTTGAAACACCGATGAAGAGGTGCTTTAGGGTGAGCTTGGTAAAAGATACCTGACCTTTTCCCCACTTCTAGTCGTGTTTGGGACAGGGAGTGTGTCCCACCTTCTAATCACGGCTCATGCCTTTTCTTCTTCTGTGCCCAAGGCAGGCAGGCCCCATTTACTTATCAACACGCTACCTGACAAGCCCCAACCAGCCATTCTGCCACAGCCTGTCCTGGACACCTGCCCAGGCACAGTTGAAGCAGGCTGGAGAGCGAGAGCCCTGTGGGTTTGGGAGAGACACCTGGCCTAGCCTTATAAATGTGTTTGTTCTCAGGTTTGGTGGACAGAGCCACAAAAGGTTATCCCGAATGGAAGCCCAGAATAAATGAGAAGACTGGAGGAAAGAGTCTTTAAAGATTGGTGGAGGCAAACACATGCCATCATGAAGGGCAGGGGAAGACGGGCCAATGGGGTAGGGGACAGAATTGTTCCAAGACCCCGTGGCCATGCTTAACTGCTGAGACTTGAAACCTGGAGCCTCGGGGACCAATCTGTAGTGTCTTGGGGAAAGGGAAATCAGCAACTCTGCTGTTTGATACATAAGCTTCTCCAAGGAGACAAGGCATCATAACATAATTAGACCCTCTGACAATGAATCCTTAAGACGAGTAGGGATCTAAATAAGGCCTATACAGGTGTGTTGTTCTGTTAAATAAGATGGTAATTTAGTGGAGAATGAAGTAATCTGGATGAGTTAAAGATAGTTTTTTATTAAAAAAACTTGTTTTGCAACTTTTTTTAATTGTGAAAATAACTTAAAATATTATTTTAAGACTGGGACTAGACATCAATTGGTAGATTGCTTTCCTAGCAGGC